TTGGGTTTCTGAGGCAGTATTACTATGGAAGTAGACTGCCCAACCTTCCTTTTGAGGAGCGGCTGGTGGGTTTGAACTGCTAGCCTTCTGATTAGCAGTCAAATCCCTTAGGTGTTATGCCACCAGAACTCCCAAGCCCATAGTAACAGGACAAGTAATTTTTAGTTAGACTATCACAATATATAATAGATAAATATATAGGCCAGTCATGATATCCAAGTCAATATTTTTCTAACACATTAGGAAACGTAGACCATGTTTTACCCTCAATCTTCACTTCTATAACTCACTGACATGTACTGCCACCTACTCTTTTAATATCTCAATTTGCAATAACTCTGTCATATCCTGAATGCAAATAGTGACAGTCAACATGTTCCATTCATGTCAATTCTCCTATCCTCCCTCTAAGAATGTATAAGTACCCAACCACTACATAAAATAACAGCAGAAGAAGATTAGAATGAACTTGTTAAGAACATTTTTAACTCTTCATTTTCTCAACTGATACCATTTCAGTGTAATATGAAGCAAAACAGGTTCAAATTTTAACCTTTTACAGGTGTAACTTCTTCCCTCACAAGTTTCCTCATTGATGAATAAGATGTGATAACCTCTTTACCTTGAAGTATTGCAATGAAACTCATGTGAGAAAACACACGTGGAGGTGCTTTTCAAGTACATACTGCTCATATTATATTAGTTATTTATATCAATTATTACTTCATATGTCTTCATTTATTAATAACAATAGCAACATGCATATCCCTATTATTTTGCCTTCAGGCATCTTGTGGTTATTGCTTAAGGTCACATAATCTTAGATGTAAAATCATTTGCAATCTGAATTGCAACCCTTTCATTAGTTTTTATAACTTGAATTTAATAGGACATTGGGGATGTGGATAGCACAGGCAAAAGGAAATTAGATTTTGGACTTTTTATTATGATGACATCCATTTGATTGTGGTCCAAATGACTAGTGAAGAAAAGCTGCTATTGTGACAACTTTCCACTGTGAAATAAAGTATAAGGTTCTGATTTCTTATTAGTTTTTTGTATATATATTAAAAAAATAATAAAAACATTCGGCACATATTCAGTGAGCTCTTCTTTTATACAAGCCATGGTGAGCATCTAAGGATGCAGCAGTGAAAAGATCCAGAGTTTGCTCCAGAGTCGGATTATCGTCCTCTTAAGAGAAACATAGTAGTGTAGTGCTAAGGCACTTGACTGCTAACCAGAAGGCTGGTGGTTCAAACCCACCAGCCACTCCTCAGAAGGAAGATGGGGCAATCTACTTCCATAGTGATACTGCCTCGGAAACCCAAGGAGGGGTCACTTGGAATCAGGTCCGACTCGATGGCACATAACAACAACGACGACAAGAGAAGCATGCAAGTGACCTTACAGGACTGGGCTCATTATCTTTTTAATGATTCATAGTTACAAAGATAAAATACTATTTTACAATCTATTTCCTCAGAAAAACAAACCAGTTGCTGTCAAGTTGATTCCAACTTAATGACAACCCCCATGTGTGCAGAGTAGAGCTGCACTCAAAAGGGTTTTTAAGGCTGTGATATTTCAGAAGCATATTGCCAGGCCTTTATTCCAAGCTGCTTCTGTGTGAATTTGAATCATCTTTTGGTTAGCGGTCAAGGACTTAACCGTTTTTGCCATCCAGGGACTCCTTTATTCCTTCATCTTAAACTCACTTTTACAAATAAGGAAAATCGAGGCTTATGAACCAGTCAGGAAGAAAGCTGGTACCTCACAGATCCATGCTTCACTTAGAGGCCTACTGGCCCATATGTTTGCCTTTGGTGGGTTTTTCTGATTGGCAACATACAGTAGTATATAAAAATAACTGTTGCAAAAATTGATATGGAAAAAACATTTGGAAATAAAGATTGGGGAAAAAATGTGTGTGAAGCTGATATAGCAATGAGCTAACATGTAGAAATACTTTGTAAACTGTAAAGCACTATCACTATAATAAATACAGAATGTCAATATAAATTTTTATAATTAGGATTTTTTTTTTCTAAAAGAACTAATGAGGATATGATGCCAATCGTGAGTGTTCGAATTAGCCTCATAGCAGAGTAAACTATGCAAATATATTTTCAAAATCTACTCATTGAAATTTGCCTTATATGAAAACGCAAGTTTACAGCCAGTGAGTTTGCTGTTATGTTAGCCACGAAAGGGAGGTTGAGAAGTTAAGAGTACTGATGAAGAAGACTTACTGAATAAGTGTGAACTGAAACATAACCTCTCTTTTAAAATGATCACAAATTCTGAGTATGTCCAGTTCAGCAAAAGGTCTTGAGAAGGACACTAAATTTCACTGAGTTCTTTCTGAGCTAGCAGGTGGTTTAATTAATCAAGGCTGGCTCTGTAGCAGACCTATCTACTTACTGGCCTATAATAAATGGCCTACAATTAATGGCTCCCTGCCTGCTCCATTTTTCCATCGAAACATGCCACATTTCAAAGACAGGGATCCTACAGGCTCCTTTAATGGCAATATCCTTAAACATCCAGGTTCCTGCAGTTATTTAAAACCACAGAGAGTGTCACCATGAAAGTTTTTTATTACTCTTAAAACTGCAAAGATTTTGAAGTTTAAAATGGAAAGAAAAATGAAAAGCCAAAGATTCAGCATTTGATTTTTTGTTATTTATTTATTTATTGGAATGTGAAAATTAGATTTATGTACAACTCCTACTACTGCAATTCTAAAATGAATAGCTTCTTAATCCAATGACTTCATAAAGTGTTAAACAGTTCTCATTACACGGTAAAAAAAAAATTATTGTCTGGATTTAATTTATCATATGAATGACTTATTCATTGTAAATAGCCAAGGTTCAATTTTTACTGAATTAAGTTCATTTTAAAAATCTAATTAAGATGATGACTTATCCATAAACTTTATCCTTTTAAAAAATGTTTACAAGTTGTAAAGCCAATAGAGAAAAGTTGGTAATATGTGTAGAGATACAAATGGCCTAAGCATGCAACAAGAAAAAATAAAATATGTTTATAACTTAATGAAAAAGTGGTTACTATAAGAACATCTTCCTCTGTTTCTAAAAATACTATAATCCAGCTCTGAAATTCTTCCTTTCATATTTCAACCTCAATCACAGCATAAAAATTTAATAACTGACCAATGTTGGACTTCAATAATAATTAAAATCTCAAATATGCTCAATGGTGATTACTGATCCAATTTACTTATATACACTGACATTTAGTAATAGTTGTATAAGCTTTCATTTTCAGAAATTCTGATGTTATTTTATTACTTTTCATAATGTGCTAATCATATTTATTATATGAATCTAAATGGAAAAAAAAACATTTAAGGGTATATAACTTGTTGATTAAATTAAGAAATCTAATATTTTCATTATATCAAAACCCTAGTAATCATGAATTTTCAAAACTGAATTTAAAATAAAATGTATTGATGGCCCAATATGACTGATATAATTGGTTTTATTGACTTGTACACATGAAAAATCTTGAACTGGCAAATGTTGTATTCTTTATATTTTTATAATAATAAATTTTTTTAGAAAAAAAGAATGTAATTTCTGATAAAATTATATGAAATAAGTGATAACATATATCTATACCTTTGTAGATATAATGCTTATATAGAATTTGAATCCCATTTCTAATTTAAAAATGGAACACATTTTGTCCCTAAAATGTTTCCTCTGTATAGCTTATGTTGTAATCATAGTTTTTTAAATCTTTTATTGTTGTTGTTGTTGTTATGTGCCGTCAAGTCGGCCCTGACTCATAGCGACCCCTCCTTGGGTTTCCGAGGCAGTATCACTACGGAAGTAGGATTGCCCAACCTTCCTTCCGAGGAGTGGCTGGTGGGTTTGAACCACCAGCCTTCTGGTTAGCAGTCAAGTGCTTTAGCCACTATGCTACCAGAGCTCCCAATCTTTTATTAGGAAATTTAATTAAGTTTCCAAATCACAAATTTAAACAAAAATAAATAAAAGAAAAAGTTGAAATATAACTTTTTTAGAATCCCTATATGTAGATTAGTGAATTTTGAGCTAAAATATTAGAAATATAAATATTGTAATATCAGTTTGCACCTTGTCATGTATAATATTAGATATGTATCTGCTTTTTTTATAAAAATAATTTATCTACATACTTTCTGTAATTTATAGCATGTAACAATTTTTATAATAATTTTATGTTGATAGATTCACTTTTTATTTTTTGTGAAAGTATACTACACTGATGATGGCTATAAAATTTTAAGTTAAAAAATTTATAGTTGTAAGGAATACTAATTTCATTTAAAAATACTTTTCACACAAAACTCAGATGTATACCAGTCAAGAATTAGTGGACTAACAGATATTCCTTGAGGTTTTACAATTTATGAGGCACTATGCTAATCTCTGGAGCTCTGGTAGCATAGTGCCTGAGGCACTTGACTGCTAACCAGAAGGCTGGTGGTTCAATCCCACTCCTTGCAAGGAAGGTTGGGCAATCTACTTCCACAGTGATACCGTAGCCTTGGAAACCCAAGGAGGGGTCACTGACTCGAAGGTGCATAACAACAAGAATATGCTAATCTCTGGAGATAGAAAATATGTGATAGGCCTTTTGAAGGCATTATTGAATTTGTTGTGATCAGTGGTCAAAAGGAAAGAGTATACAATGCATAATAATAAATACAGAAACAAAGTGTCTGTTAGGTAGCACACTCAAAGAAGAGAGTGTCATGGAGAACAATAGTTAGTATAGCAAACAATAACAAACTACAAAGTAGATGAAGCTTAAGTGATATGGTGTTATAAAGTATATATATATATATATATATATATATATATATATATATATATATATATATATATATATATATATCTCCCATCTAATAGCCACATTTAGAATGTGGATTATTTCTAATACACTAAACTTTTTTTTTTTTTTTTTTTCTGATTTGTTCTTAGAATGCTCAGGCCCATTGGGAATTGAAGGTGGAATAATATCAAATCAGCAAATCACAGCATCATCTACCCACCGAGCTCTTTTTGGACTCCAAAAATGGTATCCCTATTATGCACGTCTTAATAAAAAGGGGCTTATCAATGCCTGGACAGCTGCAGAAAATGACAGATGGCCATGGATTCAGGTAACAAATAGGGATGGGACAAGGGAACTGCCAAGGAGTGGTCAGAGCAATGTAAATAAGAAAAGTGAGAAGCCTGAGAGTGACTTTCTCACAGTTACAGAGGAAAAGGTGATTTAGTTAAGGGTACAAATTGGCTATAAACTGAAAATGAAGAGAATGTGCACAATTCTTTTTATACCTTGTTAAGTTGTAAAAAGTGTTAAAATTGTTGGAATATAAATACCAGTGTTTTAAGGTGCATATCAAAGAAGCAAGTTTTTACATGTGACATGCATTCAACAGCATAATGTTAACATTTAGCAACTTTTGACACTTTAAGGAAATAAAAATTATATGTTTTTGTTTTTTCTCTGTCCTTAAGAAGTGGTTCCTCATGGGCAAATGTAAAATATACCTCAGATATGATGATAATACCTCTTGAGTACCTTCTTTCAGTGTTGGTGGGTGTTTAAATTCACAGTCTTTTATTTCTCTTATCAGGCAGCTATTAAAAAAAATAAATGAATGACAGGAGGAAACGATATACCAGGGCATTAAGTGATATCAAGTGATTTCTCAAATATGGCATTGATAATAGTAATGCCAACATTATATATATTTATCCACTTAAACATTTTTGGAGCACTTAGCTGGAACAAGATACTAAGCTAGATATTGAGAGTATAGAAAGGCAATCAAAATATGGTTTCTGCGAATGATTATATCTCTGGTAGGATAAGCACATTGATGACTATCTAACAAGTCAATGATATATGAAAAGGGAAGAAAAGTGCCATATATTCTGAGAGTTATGAGAAAGGGTCATGAAGAAATGGTGTTGAGCTGGGTTTCGGAAGAAGGCTTTCAATCGAAATCAAAAGCCAAGGAAACAGCATGATCAAAGGTCATGGGGAAGAATCTGAGGAACATCATGTAGAAAACCATGCTGAGTATAGGGTGCTGGAAGGATGTATTAAACAATTATGTTTTAGTGTGTGGATTTGGTGTGCTTTAGAATTCACACTAAAAAGTTGTGGCCTTATTCAATTTAAAACCAAAAACCAAACCTAACTCTCTGCAGTAGAGTTGGATCTGACTTATAGTGACCCCTCCTTGGGTTTCCAAGGTGGTATCACTACAGAAGTATTCTGCCTTCTGGGGAGTGGCTGGTGGGTTTGAGCCACCAGCCTTTTGGTTAGCAGTCAAATGCCTTAGGCACTACGCTACCAGAGCTCCCTATTTGATTCAAGTGATATGCAATTACAGAATTTTGATTAGTTTAGGTGGCTTATCTGTTCTCTTTACTACATATTTTGAGTTAGAAGTAATTTTTGACATGGCAATTCATGATCTGACATTAAGTGCAAAGTATAGGAATGCTTTACAGGCATTTAATAAGAAGGGACACTGACTTGTGACCAAGTGGTATGATTTCCATACTTAAGGAACTAAATCAAAATCTATTTCCAGGGCTCAGTTCTCTTATGAATTCTTGTACATCCTATATATATGGTTTAATCTATACAGCTTCAAGTAGATACTTACTGTTCTTATTTTGTTTTTTGAACTTGTGTTTGCATATATTTGCAGAAATTGCTTTTTTAATTACCCTTGATTTTTCTAAACTATAATGATATGTGCCAAGAAAATTCCAGATAATGGAAATGGCACATCCATACTGTATTGATCATATACTAATGGCAATCAAATTAAGTTTTAAAGTAAACATTGGGAAACAAACAAACAAACAAACAAATGCTTTTGTTCTATTTGCTAAAATTCATTCTACATTTATAATCCACAATAATCAACAATTCTGAAATGCATTTTTAGAACTGCTATCATGATAAAATTTTGGAAATTAAAATTTGTAGCAGATAATTGTAGAACAATGGAGAGATGATGACCCAAGTTTGCATCAGAGTTTCTGTTTGGCAAATTGTGTTTACAAGCTTCCGTGATTGCTGTGGTTGCATAAAGCATAATTAACATAAATTTGCAATGTTCACTCCTAGAAGCACCTTTTCCATCAATGTTTCATATCCTAATACTTTGCTTTACTTTGTCTCAGTCTTTACTGCTTACTTAACATTATGTATCATTCTGTCAAAACATATGTGTGTGTATATGTGTGTGTGTGTGTGTGTGTAATATATATATATATTTTACCTTTTTTCCAGTAATTCTAGGTAGAAATTTCTATAGTAGAACATGCCAGTGCTTGACTCTCAGATGGCATTAGATTAAATATGACTTGTTTGTCATCTTGACAGAATAAATACACTTTTTTTTTCACTTTTAAGGGCAATGAGATTATTGTTATTATTTCCATATTTTCTGAATATGAAAATGAGTTGTTAGAGAAAAAAGGAAATAAAAGGCTTCACTCTCAGGAAAATAAATCTGACATGTAGTAGGAGGAAACCAGTAAAATTCACCATTGTTATTCAATAAATACTTCTTAGCAATTGCGTCGTAGTATATATTTTGTTATTGTTTTTAAATAATATCTTATTTTCTAAATTATTTTTCTAAAAAGTCTACATATTTATGTGAAGAAACTAATATACAAAAAGGAGTTCTGGTAGCATAGTGCCTGAGGCACTTGACTGCTAACCAGAAGGCTGGCAGTTCAAACCCACCAGCCACTCCTTGGAAGAAAGATGGGGCAATCTACTTCCGTAGTGATACTGCCTCAGAAACCCAAGGAGGGGTCGCTATGAGTCAGGTCTGACTCGATGGCACATAATAACAACAACAACAATATCTAAGAAGCTCTGAAGAGTCTAATCATGTACTAAATTATCTGTGTTTGAGCATTCATTATTAATTTCCATTGTCACTTAATTTTTTATTTATATTCAGTTCTTCAAATGAAATGTTTGAGTACTTTGCTTAAAGTCACTTATAATGAGCACAGTATTCCCCTAATCTCTCAGGTATATGACACACATGCAATAATTAGTATTCAATTTCATTTTCTTCCTTGCCTTGATGAAATGAAAATTGAAATTGCTATTTTAAATTTACACACTCAGCATGGAATTACTGATAGCACCACAATGCCATAATTGGTTCTGGATTTCAAGGGTTAGTATGATAAATGCAGTTAAAAAGGAACATTTTTCCTTTGTAAAGTTTCTCTGACCTTTATTTCTTCTAGATTTTTTTTTTCCAACTGTTAAATAACTGCCACATTAAACAAATTAGTTCATTAGCAACCTAACTTATCAGTTACTCTTTCTGACAGATGTGATAGAAAAAGTAATTTTCCCATATTCATGGAAATATGTCTTGGGTTACCACATATAAAAATATAAAAGATTATTATCCTTTCTATGCTCTTTGCTTACTGACTAAGGTCAGTCAGAATAACTACTTGCTATTTATTTTTAAACATAATTGTTTCCTGTTTTCTGTGTACTGTTTTTAATCACTGTGAACAGTGATATTTTCATTTTTTAGAAAAATTTTCTGTTGTTTTGTTTTTTGTGTATGCGTTCTTAGATGTCCGATTCTTAACTGTTTAATTATTCATCCATAAACAAACATTTACTGAATATCTACCTCCACTCTCTTCTTTTAGACGTTGCTAGGGGGAAAAAAAAAGACAGCATTTACCTTCTTGATACTCAGAATCTGGGAAAGAAATAGAAATGTAAACAGTAATCACAATATCAGAAACATGGCTTGGTCTTATATACTCTGCTAAATATTTCATCCGAATGACATTCTCTTATATAAAAACCATCTATTTTAGTAGACCCTTAATTAAAGTACAAACTGTTGTTGTTGTCATGTGCCGTCACGTGGGATCTGACTCATAGGGAGCCCTCCTTGGGTTTCCGAGGCAGGACCTTCCCTTCCAGGAGTGGCTGGTGGGTTTGAACCACCAGCCTTCTGGTTAGCAGTCAAGTGCTTTAGGCACTAAGATACCAGAGTTCCCCTTCAGAAGGAAGATTGCAATCTACTTCTATAGTGATATGGCCTGGGAAACCCCAGAAGGGGTTGCTAGGAGTAAGATCTCACTCAAGGGCAGTGAGTGAGATTAATGATATACATACTTAAAAAAAAAAAAAAAAAAAAGTCACTGCCATCAAGTTTATTCCAATTCAGAGCTACCCTCATTGAGTTTCCAAGGTGACAAATCTTCACAGAAGTAGATTGCCCCATCTTCTTTCTGCAGAGCAGCTGGTGGGTTTGAACTGCCAGCACTCTGGTTAGCAGTCAAGTGGCTTATGCACTGCACCACCAGAGCTTCTTATTTTATCTATCTATCTATCTATCTCTATCTCTATCTGTCTATCTATCTAGCTAGCTAGCTAGCTAGCTATATCAGAGTTTGTGGGGAAATTGGTAGTTACTTCTCATACTTTAATATGGAGAGAAATCCCTGGGTTACTCAGTAAAAAATAGAAAATTCTAGATTGTCCCAGAGACCTGCTGCTTTCATCCTTGGACCACACTATGAGAACACATCAGCTTCAGTTTATACTTCCTGAGTTGCAATAAAGCAAACAAACAAACAAATAAGCATGCAAACACAAGTTTTTGCTTGATAATCTGGGCACGTTGTCATCACTGCCTCAGGTAGCGATAACTTCAGGAGGTACGGGGCAAGGAAAGAACAGAGAAGAATGATGAGGAGAGATAGTGGGAAATATGTGACCAGGGAAAAGTGTCTTGACAAGAGCAGAGTAGAAGCACATTATATATTCTAGTTAGAAGTGTGTCCCAGCTTAGCAGTACTTCATATAAGTAAGCATTGTTCATCAACCACGAAATATTTAGTATTTCAACTAATTTACATTCCTAAATGGCTATTTGATTATTCATTATTACAAAATTATATATATGAAGTATCAAAAACATAATAATCTGATTTTTGCATTTTAAAAAAATAGTGCAGGATAGATAAGGCAAGAAGAAAATTATTTGAGGACAAACGATGGTACAGACTCATGTCTCAAGGACAATTTCCATACCTGACTTTATCTTAAGCTTCATTAGCAGTGAGATTG